GAGAGAGAGAGGAAGAGAAAGAGAGAGAGAGAGAGAGAGAGAGGAAGAGAAAGAGAGAGAGAGAGAAAGAGAGAGAGGGAGAGAGCGTGGGGGAGCGGAGAATGATAGATACATAAGAAAGATGAAAGAAATAATAGAAAATAGTGGAGGAATAATATGAGAAGATTAATAAAAAACAATTGAGCACACATGGCGATGAGAGAGCGACAGATACGGAGAGAGCGCATTATACGTCACAGCTACGGGCCCGGCTGCCGGCCAGCTTCCCCACACCCACCCGCCCTCGTGCCTGCACCCTCCTCGCTCTCATCATGCCTGCACCCTCATCCTCTCTCTATCACACACCCGCCCTCATTCCTGCACCCTCCTCCCATTTCTATCATGCCTGCACCCTCCTCCCCTTTCTATCATGCTTGCACCCTCCTCCCCTCTCTCCAACCCACCCGCCCTCATGCCCGCACCCTCCTCCCCTCTCTCCCACCCACCCGCCCTCGTGCCTGCACTCTCCTCCCCTCTCTCCCACCTACCCGCCCTCGTGCCTACACCCTCCTCCCCTCTCTAATCATGCCTGCACCCTCCGCCTCTCTCTCCCACACGCTCGCGATCTTCCTCGCACCCCTTCCCCGCTATCACCGGCCCGCCCGCACGAGCCACTCAGCCACATTCGTGACTAATGATCATCCGACGGTAATGACGGGCGTGTAACGCACGCACGCACGCGCACGCGCACGCGCACGCACGCACGCTTCGAGCCGGTATCGCACACGGCGGCTGCTGCTGGGGATTAGCTGTCCGCCGCTGCGCGTGCGCAGAGCGAGAGAGCGGCGGCGGGCTAAAGTATAAAGTGCAGCGGCGGCGGCGGCAGCGGAGGCGGCGAAGGCGGCGGCGTGCACACTCGCACCGCTCGTTGCTCGCGAGTTCTTTCTGCGTGTTTGCCTAAAGAGTTTGCCTAGATAACCTTTCCACTTGGGCTTATCGTTAACGACTTACGATCCGTGGGAAAGGCAAACAGCGTGCGTGGAGTGGACCGTCGGCCAGCA